CATGTTACAAATTTGTGCAATTTCATGTGAGTCAGACACATGACAATTATGTATTAATTATATATTAATTAATACATGTGAATTATTTAAATGTATTGTGTTGCTGTGGCTATATAACATTAAGTGAAATGTCACAGATTTTATTGGGTCATCCAGAACTTTACACCTCCTTCAATAAATTGTATAGTTGGCCTTTTGTCATGTCATGGCAGGAAACCCACAGGTGTAGATAATTGATAGCATTTATAATGGCTTCACTTCATTTATTCTACTTAGCTCCACGGCCTTCCTGCTGTGAATGTTGGCTCAATGGCATGTTTTCTAAACACACAGCCATAATTAATGATGTTATTTACACCTGTGCTTTTCCTGCTATGAGAACTGAAAATGGATTTTAAAAAGTTGTTTGAAGGACAGAAGAGAAATACTGTCATGTGAGGCAAAGCAGTAAGCTAACAGCAGTGAGGTTACCTTTGTGTGTAGCTATTGACAAATACACTGGGTCACATAAAATTAACACATTGTCATATATTGATAAATGTCTGATCAATGTCTAAGTGATTACTTAGCCAGGGTCTTTTTTTTCCAGTCTTTGAATAGGTATTGTGTGTAGGAGCAGAAAATAATATTGCAGTCGCTACTCTGCCAAGCATAACATGGTCAGCTAAGCCATATATTGCTAATACACATCACGTAGGCTCAAAAGTAAAATTACCACTCCTCTGTTAATAATATCATCTGTTGCATTCACACATTATTCTTGACATTATAACTGAACTTGTGTGCCTTTGTGACTCTTTCCCTGGTTTGTAAAGGTTGTAAAACAAAACAGCTTCAAACGTGAATGCTATTTGAGAGGCACAGTGCAAACACTTTGAAATCGCAGTTGAGTGAAATATCCAGCAGAGAGCAGCAAAACATCACTTTCTGACACATCATCACACCCTGTGCATCAGAAATAAAAATAATTTAAGGTAACTTGACTTAGGACTGATGTTTTAACGCTAATCAACTTGTGTGACTTAAAGTAAGTAGGTACTGCATATACATATATACTAAAATACTATATTGTGCATTTATCACAACTTTTTATACTGCTGTTATATGAACAGTACATTAGTTACAGTAGTAAACCCTAGCAATAGTCTGTAAAAATACAGTTTCTGATAATCAAAATGCTGTCTAGGGCATTCTGTAACAAAGTGGTTCAGATGTTTTATGAAAACTGTTTCTGTAGCCATGACACATTTTTGTTTGTGCTTTTAGTTGTACTATTGAAAAGTCATCAGAACAGCAATGTGAGTAAAATATTTTTTGTTTTTACCTGTCCTAGTTCAAACTTGTCTGCTGTCTGTGAAGATTCTCGGTCATCCAGGTCATAGTTATCCAAAGAAAGTTAAAGTCAAGGGCAACTGGACTTGGTTGAAGATACTAGAAGACGTTTCATCCCTCATCCAAAGGACTTCTTCAGTTCTGACTGACTGGTAGGGAAAATAAGCTATTTAACCTCAGTAGGGTCGTTTGCCAGGAGCCTGCAAATTGGTGTTTACAGAAAACCCACACACACAGACCAATACCTACTCTTCGATTCCCACCACCCACTGGAGCACAAGCTAGGGGTCATGAGAACACTGCACCACAGAGCGGAAAACATACCAACAAGCGCCCAAGCCAGAGAGAAGGAACAGAACCACCTGAAAGGGGCACTTACAGCCTGTGGATACCCTAAATGGACCTTTGTGAAAACATCCACAAGATCCAAGAAGAACAAAACTACAGGGGAGGAAAAGAAGGTCAAACGCAACAACATTGTGATTCCATACGTGTCTGGAGTATCAGAGAAACTCAGGAGGATTTTCAACAAACACAACATCCCTGTGTTTTTTAAACCCAAGAACACGCTAAGACAGATGCTGGTACACCCCAAAGACCGCACACCCAAACACAAGAAAAGCAATCTAGTGTATGCGGTCCAATGCAGTGAGGAATGCACAGACCTGTATATTGGGGAGACTAAACAACCACTACACAAACGCATGGCTCAACACAGAAGGGCCAACTCCTCAGGTCAAGACTCTGCAGTCTACTTACATCTGAAGGACAGAGGACACTCGTTTGAGGACCACCAGGTGCACATTTTAGACAGAGAAGATGGATGGTTTGAAAGAGGTGTCAAGGAAGCCATCTACACCAGGGTTGAGAAGCCGTCATTGAACAGGGGAGGGGGTCTACGCCACCACTTATCCCCCACTTACAATGCTGTCCTTTCATCTCTTCCCAGGAAACTCAACAAACGTAACCTATTGGCCTCAGGTGAAGATGCCAACGATGGTCGTTCAGTCTTGGCCTCGGGTAGTCCTACCGACCATAACGACTGTCGTTACAACAGCCAGGAACACTAATGAACCAGCAGTATCGACGATCCTGGCAAACGACGATCCTGGCAAACGACCCTACTGAGGTTAAATAGCTGAGTTTCCCTGCCAGTCAGTCAGAACTGAAGAAGTCCCTTGGATGAGGGACGAAACGTCTTCTAGTATCTTCAACCAAGTCCAGTTGTCCTTGACTTTAACCTTCTTTGGATAAACTTGTCTGCTCCCTCACTCCACCATAGTGCTGCATTCAGTTCCACATTATCTCCCTTCAGTGAGTCCCCTTTCTTAGTGATGCAATTTGTAACATACAAGTGAGGCATTTGGTCCTCAGCAAGGGATCAGTGGCCAGATCAATTAACTGAAGTTGAATGGCCTGCACAATCAATAAAAAGGTGTGTTGCCACACATCACACATCACAATCTTACCCTAATTACAACAATACAACTGCTTAAGGACCCACTACAGTGGAGCATTACACATGAAATGGATAATAAAAGCAGAAGATTCACAAACTTACATGTCAACTTACATAATGTTTGTAGGGGTGCTTGCCATAGCACTTGTGCAATGTTGCATTGTGGGATGATGCTGGAAACAATCATTTTATACCATTTTGCAATATGAAAAAACATGGCAAAAGGGAGGATATTACTGCCCTAGCCTTATGTAAATTAGAACCAAATTTCCCTTTGTTTGGCAGCCATCTGTTATCCAGAGTTAACTTTGATGAAGTTAAAATATATTGTATCTGTCATTTTGAGTTATTGACTTGGCCAAGAAAGACATTGTGAAAATATTTAAGGACAAAACATTGATTGTTCCTCAGAAATAGGATGTTTTCCCAAATCTCATGGATAGTGGCTCTGCATTTCAAACCACTGACAAAGGCAGGAATTTCTTTCTTATGCTTTAATTAAATCACAAGAGACGTGATAGCAGGAGTGTTATCAAGGCTTGAAAGTGGATGTGAGGTCATGAAGCTGTGATTTGTGTGAAAAGACATTTTTAGCAGCACATTGGCTTTGTCACACTGCAAAAATTGACTTAACAGAATAAGAATCTGTTTGGTGTGAAAAAAAAAAGACAATCCAAACCATATTCAGGCTTTTTCTTCAACTTCTGCACCTCAAGGAAATGCGCGATTCTGTTCAGATGAATTTTCTGTATGGATTTATAATGTGTTGTATTGATGTACGACTGTACGTAAAATTATGTCTTTTTAAGGTTCACAGATTCACTAAATTAACTTCTCACTCAGCTGAAAAATGTTCACATGTTTTTGTGGAATACTGACATGACACAACTTGCAAATATTGAATAAAAAATCTGTTCTAAAGCAATGCATTTCTCTCACAAAAACTCAGCTAGGTGCCCCATGGCCACTAAATAGCTCTACCAAAGCAGCTACCAGGGTCTCTTGACAGTACAGTGGTTTCTCTCTACTAACATCTCAGTGTCTCCCCCCTGTAAGTGCAATTCTGTCCAAAGACCCTTAAGTACACAACAACAACCATGTCAGGAACAAGAGGCTGGTAAACACTGCTAAACACCAAATTACTGATTTTAGCATGATGTATAGATTGGCGACCTGTCCAGGGTGTACCCCGCCTTTCGCCCGATGTCAGCTGGGATTGGCTCCAGCCCCCGCGACCCTGTACGCAGGATAAGCGGTTGACGATGGATGGATGGATGGATGGATGGATGGATGACATATAGACTAAGAGCTCAGATCACAGAGGGCTCTGTGAGAAACAGAATTTGACAAGCAGTTGATTTCAGATATTACTGCTGGGAGTTACGTTTTTGTAAATCCCGTCCTATTTTTAGCCAAATATAAAACAATTTCTTATGTAGCCTACCCTGTTGTGAAATTGTGCATGTATTCAACCTACTTTCAAGTGGCCATTTTCTCCAGTTCTAAATTGTCTTATTTGGATATTTCTGTAGCGGCATGTTTTATTTGTTAGTTCTTGTTTTATACACTAGGTGGTGGTATAACACTGGCCATTGCTCTTCAGATCCATGACCTCAGTGGTTTTCAAATTGAATCTGTGTAATATATTAGCTCATAAGCTTATTTAAGAGGCTCATAAATAGATCTCTTTAATCTCAGTAAATTCAGCCCTCTTCTGTGAAGCTTGTAAATGACTCGATAACACATCTCAGCTGAATTATTTTTTACATTTTTCACTGACATAAACGTATCAGGGATATACCTTATATTTGCTATCTGCAGAAACAGATATAATAAATTCAATCCACTTCAAATGCTAAATATAGAATTGCATTCACGGACACTTGTGTGTGTGAGAGTGTTTTAAATGAGACAGTTAGATATTATTGCGTAGTTACAACATTTAAAACCTATGGGGCTGTACCTGTAAGAGCTGGGACTGCTGGAGTGTAACCCTGGTTTAGGAGGAGTGGGGGTGAAACGGAACATTATTCAGGAGCTCCACACAAGTGAAGGTTTATGTTGCGCTGGGTGGGTTTTGCAGTGGTAGTACTGAACACTGGGAAGTGAAATTTGTAATAACCAGTGCATTGCTGGTGATACAGTAAAGCTAACTGGAGACATAGAGAGAGAGAGAGAAGGAGGGAGGGAGGGAGGGAGGAAGAGAGAGAGGGGAAGCAGATACTTGGTAACGCATCACAGCAGGACAGGCAATCGAATCTAAAGGCGCTCAGCCAGCGACGGACACGGACTAGGAAGGTAGGACAATATGATAATGATCATCACGCTATTGAGTTGATAGACACGAAGCAGCATTAGAGGATGACTGCGGCAGAGACGTTTTCACTCAAATGATAATGTTTTTCATTATGTAGTATAACATTTTCTTGTAGTTGTAATAATGCGTAATTCACGACTTTTTCGCTCACCAATAGTTGTCTTACTTTGGCATATTATGCGGCGTCTTTTGAATTTGCGCAACGAGACTTTAGGAAGTAGTTGATCGATCATATAAGTCATGTTTCAATGAGCTATCACTCCAGTGGGACGACCGGTTAGATTATAGGCAATAGCCTTTCTTTTATAGCATATCTTCGATCACCCAGCCTTATTCAAGTTCTGTTGTTTTCTGTAATGGTCCATTCCAACTGTTGCTGTTATTTCATCAGGGGTTATTTGATCGTATTTAAGCAGTCAGTAAATGTGATGTAGTGTGCATGCTTGCGCAGAGGTGTCGGGTGTACGGTGTTATCTCAGGTAGCCCTGGCCACTCCGGAGGTGACTTCTGGGAAGCGCCTTGGTGGACACTTATTTATTCATGTGTCACCTGAACGCGGCAGCGACGCAACGACAGGTTAAAGGGCAACACCGGTCCATTTGAGATCGAACTATTTATCCTGCATCCTTGGTCACTTCATTTTCTTGGCAATATAGCCCCTTCTTGTAATTATCTACATCTTGTAACTGTACATGAAACAGTTGTTGCATATTTTATGTAATTGTTCTTTAGGGTCCAAGCACGAATTTCTTTCTAGACAGTTGATACAACATTGACGTTGCAAAATAATGCAGTGCAGATTTTTGACATTTTTCAGTAGTTTTTTTACCTCCTGTCCTGAGAGCGCATACTTTTCAGTCAGTTCAAGTGCTCAAATCAAGATTTAATTCAAAATAGATTTTATTAAAGATATCCATCAGTAAGTCTGGATGACAGTATGTGGATAGTGATGTTTGAGATATTTTCCCAGCAACACAGATTTATTGGATTTGGACCACTGCTGGTTGATTTAGCAAAAAGTTAAACCTTTTATCAATTTTAATATGCAAATGAACATTGATTTATCATCGTTATTCTGTCATTTAGAATCAGAAAATATGTTCTTACGCCATTAGGCCTATATTGTTTTATTTTTTTTAATATGTTCACAAGTAGTGCAATATATGACACACTCAGCTGGGAGCAAATGAGTATTGATCACAGTTTGAACTCTGATCATACATGTGTTGCCTCCAACCTACAGATTATAGATTACAGATTATATGGTGCATACAATGATGTGCTTCAGGTGGGTTATACAGAGTCAGAATTATGGCATTAAAGGAGTGACCAAGCTTGTTCTACTACTACTGAAATACACATTACATGGACATTTTGGCCTTAGTGATCCTGGTAGTGGTAGGTTCACTCTCATCCTCACTGTAGTCCACCTGTGTATTAATACTGATATGCTGCTATTGTCACTACTACTGCTACTGTCAAGTCAAAGTATACCATAAAAATGCTCATATGCTGCACAAGTCTTTTAAAATGATTGTTACTATAGCATCAAAGAATCAGATATATTATGTATGTGATAAGATGGAGAGAAACTGCTGCTGTTTTCCATAAGTTATGTGGGGAAATCAGGCCTCTGACAGTTTCCCTTTCTGAGCGGCTGTCACTCTCCCTGAATTCATTCAGAATACGATAGGGAAGAAAAAAAAATAGTTAACTGGAGAGAGTCCATATCTGACAGACACCTTGACTGGCAGGCTCATATGAAACCCAATATGGGCCATAGAGGAATGAATTGCAGACACATTGACTTTACTGGACTATCCTATGAGGTCTCAGACAGGGAGCAGAGCAAGTTATGGAGACAAGAAAAGGATGAAAGTATTGTAAAACTGTGGAAGAGGAAATGGTGATAAGATAATCTAGAGTATGGAAAAGTGGTAGCTATTAATATGAAACATTCAATTCTTTCCCATGGTGTTGATACAATTCGTGTAGTTTAGCCAGTCTGTGAAAATTGTAAGTGGAACCACTGGGAAAAGGTTGGCATTGATTACCAGGTGTGAAAGCATCTGAACAGTCTACATGCTGCTCTTGAGTAACTATTAGGTGATGGCTCATGTCATTTTTCAAGTTATTTATTTATTTGTGTGCTTGTGTGTATTTATTTCTGTATGTATTCAGCATCACCTGGCTTTGGCACAATGAGCTCATGGGGTTGCAGATGACAGAAATCATTTTTTATTGCAACCATAATTATACAGTGGTGTATTTTTGCTGACAGAATAATGTGCTGTTGTGCTTTGAGCACAGTGGTCTCTGACACAAAACCCACAGACCTTAAATGTTAGTTTTTTATGCCTTTTCCCAGCTGCTTTTGGTGTCTACACAGCATTCCTGGTACTTGCAATTATGATCATTGTACGCTTCCCACTTTTTCCATTTCTACAAACACCTCTCTCCTGGTCCAGCTGTGTGTGGTCATTAAATCAGCCGAGTCATTGGGGCAGAACTGAAGAAAACAGGTTGGAGAAGAGGGTAGGGCTGAGAAGATGATTTTGCTCAGCTGCATGTCAGTTCCTGCATGCTGCTGGAACTTACTAATGTGAGCCATGCTTTTCTAAATTTTTAATGGTGGGCAAAAGGCTCACAGTAGATCCGATAATTGACATTGCCTTTTTAGAGAGGATGATTGCTTAAATAATTGGTTATAAACCCACCGATCCACAATAATCTTGTTGTAGTTTATTGCTACTAATCCCTGTGTCCCTGTATTGAGTCATTTTTGTGAATGTGTGAAAGCATTTTGAAGGAATTTTGAAATTGATATTTCCCGAAGGAAGGGATGGAGGCCTTTCATTTTTCACAGCTAAAACATTGGGGATTCGTATCTAAGCCGGTAGCATTTACCATATCGAGTCATATTCTCCCCTGAAAGTAAACCATGCCATGCTAAACAAACAAAACAGCAATTTAATGGCAGCTTTGTTGTGTGACAAATCCTTGTTGTTGGTATTTACGCATGGAATGCTGCCCTGAAGTGGGGCTGAAACGGCACAGGGAGAGAGACAGGACGGGAGGAGAGACAAGGAGGGTGAAGTACGATGGGAGGCAGGGCTGAATGAGGAGAGAGGTGAAGTGTTGAGATGAAAAGGTCATCTGTGTTGGAGAGGAGCTACTAAATGGTGTGTTTTGATCTTTCAACCGGGATAGAAACAGTCAGCTGTTGGCGGGGTTGGAATGACTGCGCTTTAACAAAGAGAGAGACAAAAGGAGATGAATGAGTCTCTACAGGCTATCGGCTGCCCTCTGACACAGCTGTCTGTGTTTATGTTGTCTGATATACACACAGGCCTCTGCTGGGACAGCTTTGCCAAGCTCATTGCAGCGGATAATGGCCAAGTGGAAAGAGAGCCTGGCTAAGAAACAGGCATTTTGAGACTGACATCAAAATTTGAGGAAGAGGCAATCAGTTCACATTATGGAGGCTTTGAATTTTTTTACAGGCATAACGTTTGAGTGAGGAAAATAGAAAAGGTTGGTTGAGAGTTGAGGCAAATATACAATGAATAGTGTGCTAATGATTATAGTATAGTCAAGGGAAACTCATTAACAATACATCTCATTGTACCATAAAAACTGTTGTAGGCTGTCTATATGGTGAAACTGGGTGATGTTGAAAACATTGTGATTCAGTGAAATAAGTGTGGGGAGGAGGACAAGAGTGGCATGACAGCATATTGATCTGCACCGTTTTTATCAGTACAAGGATGAGAAGAAAAAGTCATGGAGTGTATCATTATGTTCTCACCACAATTGGTCCACAAAAACACTAAAAGCCTAAAATCAGAGAGCTAAGATTGTTATGTCAACCTGCACTCAGGCACAAAGGCGGTGGTAGCAGCAGACAGGGTTGCTTGCTTCCTACACACCTTTTTGTAGCACATTTCTTTGGTTTTCAATTAAGTATTCATTTTCATAGTTGTTATATTAGCAAATGTATTTAAAACATACATAAATATATCATATAAATCATTCAGATAATATATACATCAACCCTGAAATTGAGCTTTCATAGCCAACAATTCTCATTTGTAAAGGAGTGCCCATACTGATCTGTCACATAATGGGATAATAAATTACTGAGAATGTCTGAACCAATATGATGAACAGACATTTGCTTTTTATGTAATTGTGAACAGTGAATATTGCAACATACTGAATTGATATTAAGACACTGTTGGTGGGGACAATTAAAACATCGGTGGGGGTGTGGGAATTTATCAGTTAAATTCACGCTGCCTCTCTAGGTCACCCACGCTGTATGCACAGACACTACATTAGAGGACAGTAGCTTCCTTGTCTACAAGATGGAGTGTCATCGACATGTAACCTCCATCACTGCACCATAAGTCTTTACTCAGTTTTTAATGTTGCTATTGCAGACACAGCTATTCGGCATTCACTTGACAAATGCAGTACAAGCAGTTGTGTCTCAGTGTGTGGCCCAGGAGGAGGCTTCTCCCCCACTATTTACCCCAACTGAACACTAATCAACCCCCACCACCCCAAGCACACATCCTGGTGTTGGTCAGCAGAGGACGGGGTGTGTATGAGTTGTGCCTGCTCAAGCGTTTTGTGACAGGGTGCCGTAATGCGGCGCCTTGCTGCGCTCCCATCCTGTTCCTCATAATTACCGTCTCCCTAGGTCCTGTGTAAGCTGCCCCGTCTCTCCCACAGTGTTTGGCTTTACTGTCAGCCTGTACAGGATCAAAGAAGTTGCAGGCAGCGTCTCCAGTGGAAGAACAGCTTGGCATGTGTATATATTTCCCTATCTTCTGAATGCCTGGCAGGGAGTTAGTGATCTTTTATTGAGAGGAGGCTCCAGTCAAGTCAAGTCAATTTTATTTATATAGCCCAATATCAGGAATCACAAATTTGCATTAAGGGTCTTTACATTCTGTACATGATACGACACCCTCCA